GCTCAGCACCAGGATGGCCTTTCCCCGAGTGCAGGCTGAGGCTGCAGCAGAAATGTGATTGCAACTGATGGTCTGAAGGGGCCTCTAATCCTTACAGCCAGTTGTATGTCTTGGGATCTCTGGAATTAATTCAATGTGTGATTGTTGTCATGTAAGACAGCGTGAGGCTGGGTTTTAGGTATCTGTGCTTTTGCTGAGTGTTAGCAAACATATATTTACTCTACGTAAAATATAGCTGCTACATAGGGGCTGATCCAAAGCACACCAAAGCCCTTAGCAGCCAGTTTGCCAGCTCTTGTGGTCTTTAGATGCAAAACACTGCAAGTCATTCAGAAAACAAGACACAATATAGATAGTGATTAATTATCCTTCCACCACAACCCATATTTTTAAGGTAGATGAATAAGTAATTTTGTAGCCCTTCTCCATGTAGGAGAGTTAAAGGAGAGTGTCTCATTCCCCAAGGTCAGTCACTGTCAGAAAGGAAATTGTGACTTCATAATTCCTGACTTTCAAACAGATAGTCCACATGGCTAATCCTTTCTTTCCTCCTTCTTTCCAGAATTTACATTAGGGGTAATTTACAGTAGGAAGGAACGAACTAAGGCTGATTTTGATTAAGCATTTCTAGTTGCGCATTAAAAAGGGAGGTACGAAAATTTTACACATGTCCCTGTTTGGCATGGTTTGCCATGGAGTAGGTTTGTATTTTGCACTGCAGAATCACTTGATGAAAAACAGCTTTGGATAGTAGGGACTGTGTCTCCCCTCAACATGGGGGTGTCTGTAGGGGCCAAAGACTCATATTGCCTCTTGCTTGTCTGCTTTTTTCTCATGAACTGTGTTTTTTAGCTGCACCATGGTAGATGGCTAAGAGAAGGGCCTGAAGATCCACTGCCCCTGGTCTAGGGCTAGTATTTAGGGACTGAATTTAGCCCACCTCATGGCAAAAGAGCCTAGGTCTCCAGTTTTGCAGGGGGTTGCTGGAGCTCCCTGGAAGGAGACTGCTGATCCCCACGAGCTCAACCCTGTTGCCTTGCCAGTGTGCTAACAGCTGTCTGTGAGCCCAGCTAAACTTCAGGCTTCTCCATAGATTTAGGGCAACATTTTCAGGTAGCTAAACAGAGAATTCTGTGTGTTGTCCTGTTAGTGGTAGTTGCCTGCACTCTGGCTGTAATAAAAAAGAAGCATCTGAGCTGCCTGTAAAGTAGGATCTTTTGATCTTTAGTGTAACAGTGTTATGTTTCCTGCTATCTAAAAATAATTTCTTTACAAGCTGCTGTAAATGAAAGGGCTTGTTTAACCTTCTGTCCTCATTCATGCTGATTTTGTTCAGGAAGTTTACATGAGTCAATTTGTGGATCATTCTGGATTCCATTCTTCAGTCCTTGTTCAGGAAAAGCATGTTAAAAGTCAGGTATTCTCATTGTTTGGATAAAGAGGATTCTTTCTTAAGTAGGAACTGAGTTAAAAAAGGACTTCCCAACTCATTTCAGTGTTTAAAGCATGTTGAACTGATAGAGAAAGGAGTAAAAAGCCCCCAAATGAAGTTAGTATGCAGTTGCTTGGTGTACCAGTATGAAGGTAAAATTGTTCTCTTTGCTGATGAAACATTGAGCTTTTCAGCAAAATGAAATTTTAAATGAAGAATGAGGCTAGGGGTTTCTGTGATGGTGGCACAGACAGCTTTTTCATAATGAAATACAGACTTGTAACAGTGTAGTATTGTCTGCTGATGGCTGTGCTCTGTGATTTGGACTTGGTGTCATGGTTAAAAGTAATGGTAAGGCTGCTTAGCATCATGTCAGAGAGGAGGCCTTTGGCCCTGTGCAGCTCAGAAAGACATGTAATCTTGCTCTGTTTCACACCAGAAACTGCTGCTGCTCTGCCCCTAATGCTTCGCTTCCTCCATCCCAGTGTAGATGGACTTGTGTGATGAGGACACAGCATGTCTAAAGGGTGCAAAGTGATGGACAAGGTTAGCGTTTGTGCTTGATGTTGACTGGTAGCATTTTGTACATAAACAACCAGTTTTTAGCCTGTTCTTGTTCTATGCTTTCTACACTTGGCAGTTTGCAGTTTTGTGTATCGCCCTCATACTTGTACACATGCATATACACACAGTCTACAAACACTGGACTAAATCCATTGATTCCATGCAAGTAGACATTAAACACAAGGGAACTCATCTGGATGAAATTTAGTTGTGTCTGCATATGTTGACACTGCTGCTGTTAATATTTTGGGCCTGATCCAACTGTTCTTACTTAGGCAAATTCTCATTGACTTCAGTCCAAGGAGGAATTATAGCAGTCTGCACCTTGGGATCTTGCACGGAGAGGGAAGAAAGAAAGGGAGCACTAAATTTGTATTTTTTTAATACACTTGGTTCTTGAAATTCCATTTTCTGTTAAATTTGAACTTACACAAGAGGGAGGCAGTATATTTACTAGCCCAAAGTATTTTTCATTGCTTTAATAGTTTGCACTGCATTTACATAAAGATATTTGCCTAGCAATAAACTGATCAAAATGCTTGATTGCTTATTGTTTTGCTGTTAAATTCTGAAGAAGACAAGAGGAACAAATGTTCAAACAGATCTCTAAGGATTTTTTTAATGCACTTTGGGTGCATAACTGATCATATGCAATTTACTCAATAGTAACTGATGACCATATCAGATAAGACGATATGATTCATCGTCACTTAGGAGGAACAGCATGTTGCATCATTGACATGTGAGGTCAGGTAGCTGCATATAACAGCATTGGGAATATGGGGGAGTCAGTGTTGTACGAGGGCAATGGGAGAAGAAGCCCCCTAAGAAGAGTTCAGGCTTTATCCTCATTTATCCTGGCTAAGTCTGTCTAAGATGTTGGATGTAGAGGTAGTTGTGTACAAGATCTTTCTGGTAAGGTGTGAAGGTTTAGCCTGCCTTTTTGTCCTGCATGGCAAATCTCATGATTGTGCATTGAGTATTATCTTACTGACAGGAACAGATGTCTCACCAAACCTACAGGTTACCTTGGGGTAGACTTACACTCCATTGCATGGATCCCAAATAATTCTGTTTTATATTGGTGGAGTTAGTTGTAACCTATATTTTTGTCATCTTCACCATTGCATGGCAGGGAGATTTTGACCTTATTAGCAACTTCCCAGGGGTTAAGATTTTGGGATAACATGCTCCCTTACTGAGACAAACCGATGATCTGTAGGGAGCATGTGTTTGAATATTGCCTTGTAAGAGGTTACATAAAAAACTGTTTCTGGCCCTTCCTGTGTAAAAGTTACATTTTATTTCACATTATGTTCTGTAGCAGTAGCAATACATAATACAAACTATCCTAACAGAGACATTTTAACAGATAGAAAAGTAGGCTAAATCACAGACCTTCCACCTAACCCTGCAGGCTATCAAAAGACACCATGAAATGGAACCTTTTAAGAAAATAGCACTGCTTTGATATCTTCTTCCCCCAGTAACAAAGGAAACAACACAAGGTAGAAGCCCTGCAAGCTAAAGAGAATGTTCTTCAACCCCTAGCTCCTGTCACTTTCCATTTTTTAACCACAGACTGACACGTTTCAGCTTGAATTTCCTGACTTTCAGCGGTTTATGTAACCATTTTCTTTAAAGGGTAAGTTTAAAGGATTTTAAAACAGTTAGTTGGTTAACCTCTTTTCAAAGTGTGAGCTGTCATGAAGCTTAATTTTCTCAGTTTAAAATGTGAAATGTGTTTCATTTGCAGCTAGTTGTAAGACAGGAATGTCTAGGAAGGCAGCATGGCTTTCTCTGATTTTCCTTCATGGTGTTTTCAGGGCAAAAAGATCCTGAAATCTCATACTCTTCTTTGTTTAATCAAGGGAGAGTGGGGAGCACACTGTGTGTGAGACTTGCACAGCAAGGGAAGGTAGCCCCATGGGTTTCCCTCACTTGTGTTGCCTGTTCTGTTACCAGTGACTGATGTGTACAGGAAGGAGCTGTACTTGCACAGCTGAGGGAGTAAGAGGAATTTCAAAGTTACAGCTCAGTCATTGCATGTTTTCCTCCCAGGACAGCAGAATTTGGGTTGCAAACAGATCAGAAGTTACAGCTGCCCTGAGCAGGCAGTGGTGTCTCAGAAAGAAGAAAAGTGGCAGATTAACTATTAGTCATTTGCAGCAATGTATTCTGATATGTGGGGAAAAAAAATTACTTAAGGACAAAACTAGAAAGGGACTGAATATCCTAATGTGAGTTGAAGGTGCTTAGCCATTCCATATCTCTTCCATTAATCTTACATGGAAAGCTCATGCATCTTGAGCAGGAGTTTTGTCTGAGCAAGGGCTTCAGGGTTAAGCTCTTAAAAGTGCCATCAAATAGCTCTTCCTAGACCTGGTATCATGCTTATAAGAAAAGCCAAAAAGTTAGGACATCTTATTCTCTCACATTTAGCAAACTGTACTTCTGAGCAACTGGGAAAGCCCCAGAGTTTAGGAGGTCTGCTTTGCTCCCCAGAGGAGAATTAGCAGCATGAGCAGAAACAGTGCTCTGCCTTTGCAAATGAAGTAGAATTAATTCATAGTCACTTGAGTTTTTACGCAGTCTTTGCTGACTGGTCTTGATAAGTAAAAGGGCTTCTCTTGATTCTGCATCCTTACAGAATAGAAAGCTGTGTTGTTCTATGTGATGTCCATTGTGTTCTGCTAGGAAATTGTTTTACTGTTTCAGAAGGAGTTCTGCAATTCTGTTGCAAGCCTTCTCTTCAGCAGCACATTCTGTAAACTATCCATACCATGAAATCTGAGGGAAAACTGGCAAGAAATCTAGCTTTATGCAGAAGAGAAACACAATAAGAGACCTTTCAATAGCCTGGGCCTTCAAAGTATTTTAAACAGCATAGTATAGCTAAGTTAGTGGGAATAGGTGCAACACCAGTAACTTTGCTGGAGCTGCTGAAGATACCTGCCAGCACAGTAGAGATTTAAAATCTGTCTTGCCCAAGGATTTTTCGTACACTTCCATCAGTTTGGGAGCTCAGTACTGCAGGGCTGCAGCAGTGTTTGGATTTGGCGTCAGCTCCTAACACACAAGGTGTCCTAACACAGGAGCTTTCTTAAGCTACAGAGACAGCACTTGAAAAGGCAGTCTAGGCTATGAGTGCAGAAGGACTAGTTCTGTTAGAAAAGAACCTTTCCACAGTCTTTTCTTCCCTTACTCTGGTCTGTTTTCTCTAAGATGGTCCAAGTTTTTATTTAAAGTGCTTTAACTGGATATCCCAGTTGCAGTTTTGACAGTTTGTTTACAGTTCACATCTGCCTGAGGGTAGTTGAAGGCATATTACAGGATAAGTGAGGTAGTTTTACTGCCAGGAGAAGGATGTGCTGGTAGGATTATTGAAGTTAATAAAAAAAAAAAAAAGATTGAAAATAAGGCCAGGGAGAATGACATAGCTGGAATTGTACCATGGGTCTGTAATTTTATCCTATGGGAACTTGTAGTAGTATACCTTCTTCTCCTCCCTACTCCCTGATTTAACTCAAAGAGAGAAGAGAGTGTGGAAAAGAAAAGCACAACTGGAAGTACTGGCTGAGAAGGCTTAAGTTCTTTTAATTTACAGCAAAACTAAGACTAGTCTTCCACTCTGAGACAATGAAAAAGTTATGTATATATGAAAATAATTTACTGTGGAAATCCCTTTCATTCCCCACTGGCTAGAAATTTAGGTGCCAAAATGAACACTTCACTCCTAGATGACTGAATTTAAGTAGAATGAATCCACTGAACCAATGAAAATGTCCACCAGTTTTGGTGGGGTTTAGGTCAGGCCTTTCGGCTTTTGGTCACAACGTTCTTGTGTTTCCATCTATTGATTGGCAGAGTTGGACATTTAAATGTGACTGGGAGGATGCAATGGGCATTCTGCAAAAGGAGTGTTCTGACTGAGGTTTCTGTGCTGTTTTCCTGCGTTCCTCTAGCATTCTGCCTGGGTCTCATTTCCTCTGATGTGTTTGCTGAGCACTGCTACTGTCCTGTAACAGAGCCCTGTCAGTACTTGCTGTGATGCTGACATGGAAGGAGGCATTGTGGCATCCCTTTTTATCCTTTTTTACTAAGGGATCCTGTAGCTGTGTGCGACCAGGCCCGGGAAGGCGCTTTGCCTGGGTCGTGGGACCCAGCGCTCCCTGCCAAGGAGGGAAGGAAAACTTCTCACATCCGGATGACTTTCACACGTGCCTCTGGCACTGCACTGCAGGGCTGGCAAGGCAAAGGCATTGTGCTTTGTTTTGTGTTGGCTGCCGAGAGCCAAGGCTTCAGACAGAAAATGTTTATTAAAAATATCCACTGTAAATGTTATCAGAGTTCCCCAGGGTAGAATTGAGAACTGTCTTAGTAAATATGCTACATCAGAAAACATATTACTTTGGGTCAAATTCTGCTTTCTTCACTAGAGCAAAGCTCTCACCCCCATCACTGGGATGCAAAGTTAGTATCTTCTTACAAGTTTGTCACAAGAGGGGAAAAAAAAAGTGTAATACCTTTCTGGGAAAATAATACAAGGGTCAGAACTTTTTGAGGAGATTCTGCCTTGCTGTCCCTACAGCAAAATTTGTTTGAAGCAGATTGAAGTGAGGGGTTGAGCTGGTGCTCCTGTCACTCGCTGTGCCTGCTGCCCAGTGCTCCCCCAGGGTGGCCAAGCCCAGAGGGAGGGCAGAGGGTTACTGCCTGCCTGAGCAGCTTCTGCAGCGCTGACATCAGGTTAAATGAAGACCAGGCTTTCAGTGGAATGAGTGACATGTAGCAGCCTGCTGAGATGTTGGAGATACCAGGATACAGATTTTTTTTTTTTCTCCTGCTAAGCACATGGCTGTTAATACAAAGAGTTCAGTGTAGATACTAATGATTAAACCTAATTTATGAAATAGGGACACTCCTTGCCTGAAGTTACTTCTTTTTTAAAAAAATTGGCATACTGTGACAAATGGACTTTTCTTACATGTTTTCAGTTATTTAAGGGACTGCTGATCATTCATTTCTAGACCAGTGCATTGAAGCTTTGGGAGTTCACAGACAAATACTGGTTGGATACATATTTCTGTCCTTTCAAATGATAGATATTCTGGAACTGCCAACTGCTGTTGAGGTGTACAGAACAAATCCAACTTCTAAGCAAAACCAATGGCTTTGTACCAGGCATTAATTTGGTCCCAAATACCACTAAAACTGCAGGGAAAATTATTCACAGGTGCCTGAGTCCCACTGAGGATCAATAGGAGGTTGAGGGTTCCCAGCTTGTGTATATGCCTTTGGTGTTTAACCAAAGCATAAAAGAAGCTGTGGCAGGTTGCATGTATGCAGAAAGTATGTCACACCTGCTTTCTGGCCATGGCCTGTGCCTTAGGCTGAGCCACAGCACAAGGTATACAACCAGCCCAGGTTGAACTGCTCTACAAAAGAGGTGTATGGCCTGTTTGCTCACAGATGCAGCTTTCCCACAAAAAAGCTGAAGAAGCTCAATGATTTGAGGCCTGACCTGGTTCTCCTTCAGACAGGGAACTCCCACCAAAGTTCAGC